CAATATTTGTTTATAATAATGCATATAGATGTTGTTATTATTTCATCATATTATTAATATTATGTATTATTATTATATTAATTATATTATTTTACAATTTCTACTTTTTGTTTTTAAATAAAAAATTATTATTGGAATATATGATTTTAAATTAATATCGTAAAATATTTTTTGTAACAATAGTTGGTTTATTGATATATTTTCAGTAATAATATTGAAATACGGAGGACCACTGGTTTTCCGTTATCGCGCCGCCGCCGTCGTCTCAATTTATCTGGCAACGACTGTACTAGCATAATATTAATTATCATCTACTTATGCTAATAATAAATGTATTGGAAATCAACTACAAAAATAGTTCCGAAGCACAAGTTACGAGAAAGCAACGAATACCTATATTGGCTGGATATATTTTGAAACGGACCATCTTCAATTTTTGTTTTCGCTTTGGGAGGCCCCTTAGAACCGGAGACGCGTGTGCATTATACACCTTGCACACCCAATTGTTGCGGCACTGCTGTCACTATGCAGTTAATACTTGAAATTTTAATAAAGTCGAGACGAATGACGACCAGACGAGTGATGAATGATGATCATGTGAATAAAAGTTTGTCTATGTATACCAAGGGTAGCCAACCCAAATGATCTTGCGGGCCACTTTGGAAATACATTTCGATCCCGCGGGCCACATATAAAATTATAATAGTATTTTGCCCCAATACAAAAAATATGGAGTAAACATTTTAATTAGGATTAATTATTATTTTAAGTTTTGGTGTATGAATTATTTGAAATAGACAGAATGAATTATTATTGTTTTCATCACCGTATTCTGAATCCAATTCTTTCAAGAACTCTTTAAATTGTCGGTGCAGAAGCACATGTGATCAAATGTAATTCACTGTTTATATGACTACTTGCTAAACATGGTACATCGACAATACTTGGGAACAAAGATTTCGTTGATGAATCATACAATTAGTTAATTATACGGATTTCGCGTTGTGTGGGCATTCCAGAATATTTTATTGGGACAAAAATTAATTTGTTTTGTAAATGTTTGATAATCCTCGCGGGCCGCAAACTTTCCAAGGTGAGCCGCGGGTTGGCCATCCCTGGTGTATACGGTAGGTATCCAACATAATAAACGTTTTGACAATTTAACATAACCAATATTTTAATAATAAGCCATCGCCAACGGATAACATAAGGAGAATTCGACATGGTGGCAGCAGGCTGGGTTTCCCAACTATTTGTAGCTTTTACGATCGATTATCCCTCGGCACTTGCGACTATAATCGGGAAAAATTAAGATTGAATTAATGAACTATAATATGCAGTAAATACTTACTATTATTTAAAATAATGAAATTCATTTTTTATTATCAGTTAAAAATATTAAAAAATAATGTAGGCAACAAACTTGGAATTTATTTACAGACTATAGAGTAGTGTACCTACTATCTATACAGTTGTCAAATATTATTCACTCAATTACTTCGTAAAAAGTAAAAACACAAAACCAATAATATCTAATTCATTAAACAAAAGAAAACATAACGATCATTTATTTTTATCCTTTATCATAAATACATTAAATTATTTAATCAATAACAAAATAAACTATTCGTAGCAGGGTATATTGTAAGGCGCTGTTGAGCATTGATTGCGATATCGAGAATATTTTTTGCGATTTTGGAAGTACATTTTTATGTTGTTAATAATGTTATAATGATAATATTACGGGTGAGAAGGTTGGTGAACTCAGTCGTGTAGCTAGCTATTTCAAAAGGGGGGGGGGGGTGTTATTCAAAATATACACAACAAAATAAATACTTTACGTATACTTTATTGTACAAGAATACAAACACATTAGTACATTACACATGAATATCTATTCATGTGTAATGTACTATTGTATGATATATACTATTGTATATAACTATTGTATGGGAAAGTATTTAAATATTTTATCATATTAAAATTTCAAATGTATATTTTTGTCATATCTATCGATTTTAAATCGCACATGATATGACATAAAACCACGGCTTTGGTTTATTAGACAAAACGATGTAATGAGAAGTCGAATCCCGGCTTTACATTATTGTTATGTATATATTTCGTTATGATAAATATGTTTTCATCATGGTTTATGATCAATTTTTACCTTTATTAGACTTCAATATAATGTTAACGCGGTTAAGGAGAGGTGTTACTATACCTGTAACCCATGGCTACGGGCCTGAGTAAAATGGTTTGAAAATTATATTTTTGAAAAACCACCGATATCATAATTTTGTGGGAATTACCTGTATTTTAGTGAAGTGATTTTCAAATTTTTAATATTACACGTTAAATTATTTTACCAGTTATATGTATTCTTTTAAAGATTATTTTTCGGAAGTCGATTACCTTATCAGTTCTTGCCTACGCCGAACATAGACGTAGTTTCTTAATTGTACTTGTTTGATTTAGTATTATGTATATTGTATATAATACACTATTTACATGCGTTATAAATATAACAGGTATGCTAGCTTTGATTTGTTTGGATTCAGTTCCAGTAATTCCACCAATAATTATTTTACAAATCGTCGGCTTTCTATTTTTTGTACTGGTATAATGTATTCATATTTTAAGTACAGTATTAGTTTGAAAGTGTACCTAATATCTAGCGTAGTATTTATTCATATAAAGAATTATACTTAGTATACTTAGTTAAGAGTTATAAATGTGACTTTTGATAGAGAGGTAGAGGGAATTTAATGCGTTGTTGACAAAAATTCTTAGAATAGACCCTGATTCGTAGTTTATTTCGTCATACTTTCATTATCATGTTCGTTGGCTCAGCTGTTACATGTTGGTCGTTAGACGTTAGTAGGGGCCCGTATTTAGGGGGAGGGGGGAAACAGGAGTAGGCACATGCCGGGGGGCATCAAAATATTTTAGCAAAATTAATTTTAAAAATTATGTACCTAAGGAAAAAAAAACAATGAAAAAAGAAAATGGTATGTTATATTTTGTTATAATTTTTAAATTAAAAAAAAAAATTATATTTTTATGATATTATAATTTATTAATTAAAAAAATTATCAAAAGATTTTCAATTATAAATTATATTTTAATATTTAAGAATCTCGATTATGGACGAAATAATAAGTGTTAAATTATTATTTTTTTTTTTTTTTGAGGAGGGGAGGGCATTAACTATATGCCCGGGGGCGCCAAATTTTTAAATACTTATTATTATAATATACTATTAAAATTTTTTTTAAATATTAATAGGCTATAGTGTTTATAGTTGCTGCTATTCAGTATTCACTAATAATTCGTACATCAAATTTATTTATCTTAACAATTTAAAATTCTTTATAAGTGAAATTCTGGACCACAACCGGCCATCAATAGCCCATGGTGGGCCCCTTCCAGTTATAAAATCGACCATGACATATGTCATAAATAAATTAGGAGATCGATGCCACTGGCGTGAGCAGGGATATGTAAAATATAAAGGCGTATTTGTGTTGAAGCTATGGTGGGAGGGGGCGAAACTAATTTTTCTTTAATACAAACTTAAAAATAATTTACAGTTCATTACCTACAACTTATGGTCCTGGTATAATGATAACATATTATAGCGACAGACCAATAATTTATATTCTTAATTGTTTATACATTACATTTTTTAAATAAATCAATGTATTATATTCAAAAAAAATACTAACCATTGGGGGGCAAATGCCCCCTTCGCCTACCCCCTCAAATACTTCCTTGGTAGGATATACGGCTGCATACCCTAAACATACAAAAAAATAAATGAAAATCATGACATATTTAATCTTTAAATTGTATATCATGTGATTTTGTATAGCGTTAGGATTTTATTATATTTTTATATTCAGTCCCAGACATTTGTATTTATTTTTGAAACTCAAATTATATACTATAATAACAATTTAATGTGTCAATGAAAATGAGAATTACTATGCTTCAAAAGAGATTAAATAACATTCAACTAGTAAGTAATAAATGACATTACATTAAAAGTCCAAAGACATTGATGATATTAAAAACAGGATTGAACACAGAATAATTCTAGAACAACAATTATTGTTTTATAATCAATTATAATTATTTATCAAACTTATTTTGTTTTCTCATCTAAGTATATATATATATATATGTTTTTCTTTTTTTATTTACACTGTTTAAATATATTACTCAAACCATTTCAAATATTATATACATATTTTTTTTTCTAAATTTATTTTAAATTTTAATTATGAAGACAGTTATAACAATGATAAATGGCAATTCAGTCATTTTTTCAGAAAAAAAATTTAAATTTTAGATTAAACAGTTATTTAGATATTTGTGTATATATTTTCCCCAGAATTTTGAACGCTTATATTAATTTTCAGTGGTGGTGAAGGTAGGCAGTGGTACTTTTTTGCATTCTACACATGCCTATGACTAACATATACAATTTTAGTTAAACATTATATGATATATTTGTGTAAACAAGTAGAAAACTTACCAGTGGAGTTAGACTTGGTTAGTGATGTATCAAATTCAATGATACCTAACATCACAGAATTATTCAAATCAATTTGTTCAGTAATATGGTTTTGAACACTTTCTACGGCCAAAGTATAAAATAATCATATAAAATGTAAGATGGTTCACACTTAAGACTAATATTGACAGGTATTATTATCATCTATTCTACAATCAATGGTTTTGATTATATTTATTTTTTTTTATTTACAGTTGAGATAATTGATATAATATAGGTTCAAAATAAATCTAATAATATGGATTAACATTTTAATATATTACAAAAAACTTTTTATTTAAATAAAAACTTAAAAGAAATTAAAAATAGTTAAAATGTATACACATATTACGTTTAAAATTTATAAAAATGAAAAATAAATTTTATATAATTTATAAAATCATTATATTAATTTATTACAATTAACATAAGTATTTAAGATTTAATCTAATGTTAAAACACATAAGACATCTCGCGATTTAGCTATTTCTCTGTGTTTACTTTTTATTCCAGAGTTGGTTGACCTACTGACATAACATTCATTATTACAGCAATTTGAAATTGAAATATTTGGCGAGTAAAAACTATTTAATATATTGGATGATTCAGTTAAAGACTGAGAATTAGAATCATCATTTAATATAATTATTGGTTCATATTTTGAATTAGTCGATGGGAATGAATTATTCTTAAGACTTAAGTCTAATACAAATACACCATCAGCAGAATTATTATCATTTGTTCTTGTCAAATCTTCAGTTTGGAGAATAGGTTCAGAATTTTTTAAAGATTCTTCAACATATGGTGAATTGCATTTTCTATGTTTTGTTTCTGTATGATCAATATGATCATCCTCATCATCTGAATCTGATAATATAATCGCCTCAATGTGATTTGAAGAATGATTGTCATTTATTCTGGACATATATGAAAAATCTCCAGGTTTTTTTTCATGCCATGTTCCATCTGCTGATAATATGATATTTTCACAATCATTACTTAAATTTGGATTTTGAAGAATGTTTAAAAAAAATTCATCAACTTCAATATCTTCAAATCTTACTTTTTTCTTACATAAAGGACATGTCCATGTTTGCTTTTGTTCATTCATCTGCAAGAATTGTATAGCATCAAAACATTGCAAATGTATACAATTAATACCTCGAGATGGTAGGTTCATTCTCATTTTACCAAGTGGATCCTTAATAGTAACAAACATAGATGCTACAACCATATCAGCATCACTTTCCATTGATTTTTTAATCAATTCTTTTGTTTTATCTGAGGCACGAAGTGGTCTTTTTTTAAGTTCTACAAGAAGCTCACTCCAAGTTAATTTCTGTGCAATACAAACAACAGCTGTATAGTTTTGTGAATCTTCTGACCAAGTGATATTTAATGTGTTCTGTGAGCAGTTTCTTAAATCTGTTAGCTGAGTAATATCTATAGGAACATTGCATCTCCATGGGATGATATCAGCCTCCATTGGGATGTTCATTGTAGGTAACTTGCATTGAAGACCATTTACGGACACATTTAAATTGTAAGGTAAACGATCTGTAACATATTTTATAACACCTCTTCGAACTAATCTTAAAATTATTTGAACTTTGTATTCTTGTTTAGTATTATTCCACGATTTTAAAATTGTATGTCTAACATCATCTGTTAGAAAAAAAAGACCAGTGAAGTTGGCTGAATCAACAACAGTTGTACAGTCAATAGGAAACAGTAAAGTTTCTATTGTCTTAAAAAATGGTAAGTTTTCAAATTTAGTAGTTGAAATATCATGAACTTCATTAAAAAATGGTAAAGTATTGGTTGTATAAGGTACAGTACACTTCTTATTCTTAAAATCCTTATATGAAGGAGGTTGTTGAAAATACTGAGGTGAAAAATGTGATTCATGTGGATGTTGAATTAATAGTGGTGTTGGTGGTTGAGGATGTTGTTGATACATTTGGTCTGCTTCTAATCTAGCCTTATAGACTTGTAAAATATTTTGTGTCAACAATTTTGTTTTTATTGGAGAAGCAGACAACAAGTTTAAAACACGCTTACATAAAACTTTTTTGCTACCAAATTTGTTCTGTTTAACAGTATCTAAAATGAGTTGTAATTCACATGGTCTTAAATCATATACCAACTGATGAATATTTATATTTTCTGGCTATAAAAAAAAAAAAAAGAAAATATACATTTTAGTACAAATAACTTGTTCCAAAATATTCTACCTTGGGACAATATTGATTGTTTTATTCATACATTTAACATCAGATAAAAGTAAATTAATTTTAAAAATAAATATAGGAAATCTTTTCTTGAAATAGTATTTATATAAACTATATATATTATATTTCTATGTAAAAAAATAAAAAGTAGTTTATACATAGAAATAAATAAATAATAGCTTAGCCAAGAGTATTATTATGTTTGCAAAGTACAGCTAATTTCAAATTAAAAATTCACCATCAGGTATATACAAAGTTAAAAAAATATTGTGCTTTTTTTTATTTATTTCTTATGCATAAAAGGAAAGGCTTAAGATTAAGACTAATTTATTCACAATAATTTTGAGCCTTTTGGTAAGTAAATATTAACAATAAAACCAAAATATATTAGTATTAACACATTATGTAACATCAAATAATTAGACAATCTTTAAAAAATATTTAATTTCAACTAATATATATCAAAGTTTTTTTTTTTTATAATTTCTTAGTATCCGAGTCAAGATATCAAAATCAAACATGGAAATTTGACAAACTTTATTGAAAATAAGTCCATATCAAAATTAAAACCCTTCCTCAGTTTTTTTTTTTTTTTATAGAACCGTTGCTTCGGTGTTGTGCCGTACAATACGTGATTAATATAATAACGAAATAAAACGTAGAAATACTTACAACCAAATGAGAAGTATTTGATGCCATGATTTTTTTTTTTAAGTCAATGTCAGATTTCTTATCGGAATGGATTCGCATTCAGTAATATATGTATACGTGAAAATCGGAATTGAATCGGTACAAAGTTACCGACGCCATTTATAACCGAAGTTGAAAACCGCAAAAAAAAAGACGTTTACTCGCGAACATCAGGCACCTGCGTCGGAGAATTAATAACGGCGGACCACACCACAGATTAGTATGTATAACACAACTGACCAAATTTCCAAACGATTTGCGAGAATTGAACCAAATCATAACCGACTGGGTAGACGGTCGTTTCTGCGCCGTAACACCGATAAGAAACAGCGCACGAGTACACAAATCGACCCGATGATAGCTATTATTGCGTTTTGTCTCGGCGCTCGGACCTCTCACTCGCGCGCGTCGGCGGTATGCGCGGAACGCGAGAGAGACGGAGTCCCGGTTTCCCGTTCGCTCCGCGTCGATCGTCGTTCTATTATTGTGTATTAACGTTATTATTTCATTATTGTCATGCTTTCCGGCGGCGGTGGCGATAACAGGTATTATAATAGTTAAAATAACAACAGCTACGCACGCTAAATACGTCCATACCGCGATATGCGATCCTTTGTAGTCATGTTCAGATTTAACTAGGGTTGCCGTAAATTTATAAGGCGAAAACGGGACAAAACAAACACATTATTGAGTAACACGTTTTTTATATAACTTTCGATACATTGAGAGGACCAGTGTCGTGTACATGGGCAAGAGCAAGAAAATTGTTTACTATGAAAAGTATATATTTATTTAAATAGAATTTAAAAGTGTAATTTGATCCATTAAAATCTATAATTTGCTTATGAAAAATCTATTTAGTTTGGAAAATCAGGTTATCAGCTATAAATAACAACACGCTTTTTCGTTTCTATTCTAATTACCAATTCTTAAAATATTGTGTATTTCCAGAAATACGGTATGTATATATGTGTGTACACCACCATAATATTTATATAATATTTGTAAATTAATATTTTAAAAAATATAACTAATGTTTGAAGTGTCCAATTTATATTATTGATTAAATAAAAATTTCAATAAATTACTTTTATGGTAAATTGGTCAAAAAATTATTATCTTATAGTCTTCCAGTTTGATACATATATAATGTAAAATTGTAAGCCCCTTCATACATCGTGGGTCATTCCTATTTATGAATAGATTGATTAATTAAAATGTTGTCCCTCCCCTTGAGAATTTTCCTATGGGCGCCCTTGTACATGGGGGGGAGAATGTGGTGATCAGATCCCCCCCTAGGCCTTATTTTAAACGTTATAAGATAATGATAAAATAAAAATGATGATTTGTTTGTAAATAATCCCTCTCCCATACAAAATATATAACATATATACGCCACCGAAGAGGACCATTAATGGCCGGTAGTATTTAAAAATAATTTTGTAAAATAAAATACATTATATATTTATATGTGTAAATTACAATTTTTTTTATTATATATTGTCAATCGATTACAATTAAAAATGTACTTTGAGATAAAATGGTCGAAATTAAAAATTAAACAATACTACATTTCCTCTAAACGTCTGACCCGGGACATATGGACATCCCGAAAACATTTTTCGGGACAACGGGATACGAAGTCCAAAACCGGTGACAGTCCCGGTTTTCCGGGACGTATGGAAACCCTAGATTTAACTAAAAATCTACCCATCGGATTTGGATGATTTTTTTTTTTTATAAATATTCTTCATGACTCCAGAAGCGATGTAGGCCGTGTTTTGTTCAAATTTCGTAATATATCTGTTAACTTTTTACATACTTACGTATGATTGCGTGACCGATAGTATTCTAGAACTTTCTAGAAAAGATAAACAAATAACGGCGATAATGTTGCTATTTTTAAACATTTATGCGCTAGCTTATGCCTATTAGAGTCGATTGTAAACCGATTATAAACGTAGTATTTATTTACTTTCGCAACAATTTGCGAATTTAATTTGCTATTAATGATATCGTTACGTTCAAGGGTGTTTATATTAAGATTTGCACTATGTGTTCGTGTAAAAATATCCAAGAATTTCAAACAAATATTTTGTGAGTTAAAAACGCTTACGGATTTCCAGCGTTCAATTGAAAATACCTGGACTACATGGTTAAGTTGTAATAAGGATACAACTTATAATGTTCAGGTCGATCCAAAAATTATCTTTTCAACGATAAGGCCGTCGGCTATAGCCTGTTGCAGGTTACGGTAATGTATTGTTATGTACTTGATTTTCGGCTTTACTGTTGCCGAAACTACTTGTTAACACTTTTGAGCTCTATCGCGTCCTATCGGAGCTGTTCGTCAGATCATTCAAGCCGTCTAAGGCCCATCGCCCACCAAAGTAATATGACGTATAGCACGGCAAATGATGTAACAAGTAGCATGCACCTAGCACGCTATTTTGTATCAAAAAAATGTAATTAATAGATTTAACGCTTACTTAAGTGATACGACAAACTACATGTTACTTCGGTATCATTCAAATGCAGCGTGTTCCATTTTTTGCTACATGCAACTTACCTCAAAGTAATTAAAAGGCGCTCTTCTAGTGAACTAGTGAAACTGAATCTCTAAAATTAGTAGTATCTTGCTTCCCAATCGATGGTTCTATTTTTTGAAGTAATAAACTAAATGCATTTGTATTCATTCTATAAAATGATTGGAATCGCTCTGGATAGGTATGTAATTCTTTGAATACATCAAAAAAACACTACGTTTAATTTTTTGATTCTTTTTCCAGTATGAATGAACCCAATACTGTCTTTTTTTATTATTTGCGTTATTAACATTGATTAAATTTACTAAAGCCAAAAAATTGTCGTCATCCGATGAAGAAGACATATTGACTACTGGTATTACTAGTTTCTAGATTCATAGGTAGGCGTTGTGTTACACCATTCGTCATTTTGTTGTTACGTGTTTGCTATATCACTTACCGCGCTACACGTCACGTTACTTTGGTGGGTGCTTGGCCTAACATTGGATTGACCTATTTATAACTGCCAGACGGACGGTATACAAAGACTCATGGCCCATCCATACAAGTTATTACCTGAAATTAGGTGACACATTAATAACAATCATGATAATTACTCGATAAATTCTCAAAAAATTAGGTAAGGCATTTCCATTGGCCGGTAAACCATATTTATCCAATAAAACGAAAATTAACTTATATTAAATTCTTATTATTCCTAATTATATCCGTAATTATTTCACGCCAATTGATTCATAATTATTGTCATCCGGTGATTTGGTTTTTGTATTGTGTTTTTCCTAATTATACTTCTACCTGTCTCAAGCTGGTACGCATATTTTTAATTGATATTCTTTAATTAATTATACCTGTATAGATGTAAAATCGCTTTTTAATATATTTTTCTAAGTTAGTTGGTCGGTTAATATTCCTGGGAACGCTGCGTCGGCGCCAATGGGGTGGGTAGCGCCGGCTGTATCAATGGGGGTGGGGGACAGCGGAAGCAGTAGGTGGCGATAGTGGGGGTAGGGTTTAGATGTTCGGAGGATCGAAGGATCGGGAGGGTGTGCCGGAATCTTCTATTTCTCTCTACTCGAGTGGTGCACCCAAACGGGTTGAGTTTAAACGAACCACCGAGATCAGGAACGTAGGATTCCGGATTAGAATGACCAGAGTTCCCGATACGCGAGTCGGCAGACGTTCGATCAATAATAAGTCTCACCCGAGAACGGCCGCGCAACAACGATGACCGTAAAACCCGTGAGCGTACGCACAAACGGCACCGCACGCGCATCGGTAACAATATGACACGGTCAAGACCTTTAGTGGGGGATCCAGGGTGTCTGGACCCCCCCACGAAATATTTTCAATTTTTAATACCAACATAAATATTTTCAGGCAAAAATGACTTAAGCTCCAATTAATCATTGACTGCTTTTAATTTTATATCATATTGAAAATATGATATTAGTTTTGATAAAAGAGGATTAAAATCTTTTTCTGTCTTATTTTTAACCAAATGTCAATAGTTAAAATCTAAATTCAATAAAATTACATTATACACGTTTTGGACCCCTCTCGAAAAAAATTTCTAGATATGGCCTTGGACACTGTGACGGTGTTATCGGCCTTCGCTTGGTGGGCGGGGGGTGGAAAAAACCGAGAGGTTCCATCACCCCGAGAAGGCCGCGCACACGTTACCTATGAACCCGTAACCGGTTTGACGCGGACTATTATTATTATCATCGCGTTTCTATTGTTCTCCTCGATCGCAGAAGCGTGTCCGGTCGGATAATATTCGAATTTCCTACTTCACGCCGGCGCAACGTGCAGCGAGTGCGCAGGACTACATACGACAGGAAGACCGATCTCGGCGCATTACGGTGTTTGAGCGACCATACTACCCTTGGCCGAACGCGCGCTACTTCAGAGGGTCCTGTGAACCATCGTTTTCTCCGTCGGAACCTTTTACGAGAACAAATAATTACAATTTTCTTTAACGTTGATAAGACGAAAATCCCTTTTGTTTTCTTAATTACCTTTCCGAATACTAGTATTTTATTTACGTTTTAAACGTTTAAACAATTATGGTTTACGGGCAGATGTGGGATGATTTTGGACCGGGGGTCTGAACACCATGGACTGCACCCCTCCCGTAGATACCCGCCCCTAATCCTTTTCTACCGAGAGTGCGCATCGCCGATAAACTGTGGAGTCGGTCTCATTACGAGCGACCGTTTTACTTTACGAGAGTTTTTCCCGCCCTTTGTATTATATTGTACATACATAATATGTCTCGTCGTCCCTTGGGAATTGAAAAAAACAACCAAAGCATTGCTATTGCAACGGGCGTTTTATCGTTCGATAATAGAAATTCGAAATAATGACGAGACGCGCATTTACATCGTCGTTCTCGATTCAAATAATAATTATACGGTTCGCGAAATCCTTCTGTCGTCCTGTCCACGCCGGAGAGTATTCATTTGCTGCAGTACGAGAACCGCAGTGGCATGGTATTGCATAAAAGAAAAATATTGTCCCCCCAACGCAATAAAGCTTGTATAATTATTGACTTCAACTTTTACGCCGTTCCCTATGACTTTGTCAAAATCAATACGGTCTTTAAACTCGATTTCGGGAAATGGATGTGGCGATCCGGAAGTGCACGTGAAAAAGATGGTAGAAAGGGATGGTAGTAGTGCGTTCGCACTACGAGTTTGTAAACAGTTATAGCAGCGGTACACTCGCGCGCTAAGGACAATAATAAAAG